GCAGTACTTTCAGTGACCTGTAATAGGCAGTATCACGTCTTTTGTAGCAGAAATAAACTGCTGCAGAAAAAGCTAGGTGCATGCAAAATGTAATGTGTAACTGCAACACTCATTTCAAATGTAGTGGAGTAAAGAGTACAGATACTCATTAAATAATGTAGTGAAGTAGAGAGTAAAAGTTGCTAATATCTTTAATACTCAGTACAACTACAAAGTATCCAAAAAGATACTCAAGTACAGTAATTAGTTACATTTACTCAAATACTTTACACCTCTGCGTCCTGGTCCTCACAGTGTTTTCGTGACATCAAACCTATATCTGTAGGCTCTCCTGATTGTAATAATCATAATAGAGCTTAATAGTTTTTTTTGTTTTCAAGTCTCAGAAGGAGCAGAATTCTACTTTTCTATTGCTCTTGGGCTGTTACGCGTGTTTCTGATGCTCACCTGTTTCGTTTTTGTGTGTGATGTTCAGTCCTGGGAAAGATCCGCAGTGCAGTGGGAAGCGCACAGCTGCTTATGTCCCAGAAGTTTCAGCAGTTCAGGGAATTGTGTGAGGAAAATCTGGTGAGTACTAGTAGGAATGATATAGTAAACGTTTATTTGACCGAATCAACTTATACTGTCAATTGAAGCAGCATTGAACTGACTTGAGGTGAGTAAGACACTGTTTACAACTGTTTATAGCTGTTTTGAAATTGATTAACTTTACACTGTTATTGAACTCAACTGAAGCAACTTGAGCTAAGTAATTATGCTATTGTCTTTTTAGTGCTGCTTTACAGCATGAGGAAGTGATTCTGCTATTTTCCTGTTTATTACTGTGAATCTGCTTTGAAACAGTCGGTATTGTAAAAAAAAAAGTGCTATAGAAATATAGGTGACTTGACTGTGGTTCAGAACTTTGGGGTCAGTAAGAGTTTTCTCTTTAAAGAAATTAATACTTTTATTCAGCAAGGATGCATTAAATTGATCAAAAGTGACAGTCAAGACATTTATAATGATACAATAGATTTCTATTTTTAAAAAATGCTGTTCTATTGAACTTTCTATTTATCAAATTTATCAAAAAAGACTGACTGCTACAAATTCACCTTTGTAATTACATAAATAAATTACACTTTAAATATATATATTAACAAAAATAGAAAAACTTATTTTAAATTGTAATATTTCACAACATAACTTTATTACTGCATTTTTAGTAAAATACAAGCAACCCCAAGCTTTTGAACAGTAGTGTATCTTCAAGGCTGTGAATCTTTGGAAACTAATGGAACTGTGGGTTCCTTTGCACCTTTGCAAGCACAATACCAGGATGGACACACCAGCTCCAGAGAAAACAGATCCATCGAGGCCTATCAGATGTTTAGACAGCACAGCTAATTCTTATAGTTCCACTTTTGTTCCTTCTCTTGGCTTAACAGAACCCAAACGCTCACCCACGGCCAGTGGCTCAAGATCTCGCAGGGTTCTGGGACATGCTTCAACTTTCCATTGAGAATATCAGCTTAAAGTTCGATGAGCTTCACCAGCTCAAAGCCAACAACTGGAGACCCCTCGACCCCCCTGAGAGAAAGGTACAACAAACTTGCAGAATCAGTACAGAGTCATTGACAGAAGAAGAATAAGAATGCAGACATGCTAGCTGACTGATCGCAGGGCAACGTTGCGTTTTTGTTTTGTTTTTTCATTCATGTGCATGGTCTGTTGCTTCTGTAGTGTGATATTAAGCATTCAAGTGTGGGCACTGGCAATAACAATCCTCCAAAATCCACAATATTATTCAATATATTTGACGTGTTGCTGTTGTCCCTGCGGCTCATGTGAGTCTGTTGGTCTAATGTGACTGTGAATGTTTCATTCACTCTTAATTTCCTGACATCCTCTTCATGTTTGCTTTGTTTGTTTGTTTGTTTGACAGTGAGCTGTTTTCAGAAGTCATTCCATCCGGCACGCACCATGGGGGCAGCGGCCCCCAACCTCTCACCCCCGCCGGGCCGCTCTCTTACCGCACGCAGTCGGCCGCGGAAGCGTTAGCACCGCTCCGTAACGCTAGCCGCGGCTGGCCTTAGCGCTGTCTGTGTGCAGGTGTGCCATATTGCTGTTTCGGCTCGTCTTTTTCTGCCCGCCGTGGCGGCTAACTGACTGTTTGTCGTCCCTGTTCAGGAGAGAAGGCTGCCTCCCCCAGTGCCAAAGAAACCCCCGAAAGGCCACCCTCCACTGGCCAGAGATCGCTCACTGGAAAGCACAGAGAAGCAGCGTCAGGAGGCACGCAAGCGTTTGATGGCGGCCAAACGAGCCGCTTCGGTACGGCAGAACTCGGCCACAGAGAGCGCAGACAGCATCGAGATCTATATACCTGAGGCCCAGACCAGATTATGAAACTGCCAAATGCCAAAACACACTCACACATGAACGCCCAAGTGCAGAAATCCACCGTGAGCACAACACATCACACAGATCTATATTTGCCTGATGCTAAGATCACTGTATATTAGGAGCGACATACACCAGCACCATGATAGCACAGTAGTAGTAATTTGACCTTTCATTACTAAAACAAATGACATCCAAGATAGATCTACATCATATTTATATGACCCTTAAGACTTCAGGACAAATGACTTGTTTAATTTTACACAAATGAAAACGAGGCTGTTTTTTTGGAAAAACTATTTCAGGGTTTCTGAAAATCAGTACGTCCTGAACGTCCTGTGGCGGAAATGATCGAGGGACTTTAGTTTTGTACTTTTTTCAGTATGAATATTCAGATTTTTTTTTTTTGAGAAGCAGCACTGCATAAAATATTAAGAATTGTTTTCATAGTTTGTCTTGAATATATACTACCGATCTCTTATGCTCACCAAGGCTGCATTTGTTTGATCAAAAATACAATTAAAACAGTAATATTGTGAAATATTATTACAATTTAAAATAACTGCTTTCTAATTTAATATATTTTAAAATTCATTTATTTCTGTGATGGCAGCGCTGAATTTTCAGCAGTCATTATTCCAGTCTTCAGTGTCACATGATCCTTCAGAAATCATTCTAATATGCTGATTTGCTCCCCAAGAAAAAATGGGGAAGAATTTTTGAAGAATTCTTAGGCAAATCGAAAGTTACAAAAGCAGAATTTATTTGAAATTGAGTCTTTTGTAACGCTACAGATGACTTAACTCTAACTTTGGATCAATTTAAGGCATCCTTGCTGAATAAAAATATTAATTTCTTTCAGAAAAAATAAAAAATAACTGGCCCCAAGCTTATTTGTCCTTGAACACTGGCTAATTTTTTCACTTGTTTTAAAGATGTTTACACTTAAAATCTGGTGAAAAAGTGAAAGAATATGCCAGTGCTTTTACACAAAGTATACTAGTATTAAAGATACATTATGTCTTATGCAGTCTTGCTTCTCAGTTAATCTTGTTTCAAAGATTTCTATATAGTTTTACTAGAAAATATGACAAAAATTCTCATCTCATCAAGAATATGACTTTTACAGTGTGTGATTATATACTGCTGGATATACAGCAGAACTGTCCCTCACAGCCACGCTTTTATTTGTGTCAAATTAAATATTTCTACCCTGAATAAGATCTATGACTAGATCATTCACACGCACTATTTGGAGCTCAGCCACTTTATATATACTCTTTTTCATTTTTATGCATGTGTGATTACATACAGTTTGTTTGTAAACACATAATAGACATGGTTACACATGCACACGTGCATAACAACCTCTCTCATTCACCGTGTAGATAAATATGAGCATATACACGCGTATATACTTTATCATTTAACAGTTCTACACAGACTTATCACAAATAATAAACATAAGCGCATTCACTCTGAGTGGAACAGGCTGGGTGTTTGTAATATAATCTGTCTGTACCTTTTTCCTTAAGAGATGAAGGAATGTTATAACAGGTTTAATGTTTTACTTCTCCAGTCGTTCCATCTGTCTTTCTCTTTCACACACTGTCTTAATCTGATGATCTGAAGAGATGTGATCATAGTGAATTATGTTCCTAGCCATGTGAAGTAGATAAACACTCTCTCTCTCAGTCCCTCTAGGAAATACTGTATCCTGTTGTCTTTTAGCATTTCTGTTTTCTCAGAAGAGCTAGCAGTTCTTTCCCGCTTCTATCCCTGCCCCCTTTTTTTTTTTTTGTCGCACAATTGGAAAATGATGACCACATAACAGGGTATTTTAAGCTAAAAGCAATACTCATAAGAAATTCTAATATTACTTTTTATATTTTGATGTAGAGATTCTGTAAAACTGATTCACTGCTAATGAAAAAATGCCTTCACTATTCTGTAGCCATTTCGGTTTCTTGCCATTCTGATGCTTGCTATTGTGAACGCTTATCAATGGCCACTCTTGAACAGTTCTTCTTATTTTAAATCCTCTTTATACGTCATACGTGGGACATTTAGGCACATTATTATATTCTTTAGTGTATAAAATACAAATAAACTAACTAATCATTTTTCTAACATAGATTTGGGGCCTTCTGTGGGTTTTTATGTAGACAAGTCGAGGTACTTCAATGAGACGACTGCAAAAAAGTGACACTAGAAGGGGAGTTTTAATAAAATGCAAGCTTTTCATCATTGTTCGCGAGATTATGTCTTTCCAGTAGCAATTTCAGTGACTTAATTTAATGTGTTTTAATACTGTGTTGGGGCATGGGGAAGTTTTTTGTAAGCTTTGTACTCAAAAGGGTTGTGACTCTGAGAGGACCGTATGACTCTGCCTGATCGGTCGTGTCAGGTGAGCTAAACTAGCGTTAAACTCTCAGGAAAAGACAGAGGTGAAGTGAGTGCAGCAAATTCAGGGTCTCCCAGTGGTGATGTTTTACCTGTGTTTTTGTGAGCGTGTTTGCGTGTTCAGTGCACACAGGTGTGAGTCTGATTGTGTTTTAAAGAATGTATGTGTCTTTATGGTAAATAGGTGTGTGTGTGTGTGTGTGTGAGAGAGAGTCTATAAAAGTGCTTCCTGATTTTATTGGTTAACACAATCTTTGAATTTTTTTTCTGTTGGTTGAAGTCAAGTAGCCTCATGAACTCGTGTACAGTATCAAAGCCCCTTGTTCTTATTTTAGTCTATATTGTTTGTACAAGAAAACAATGATGAGGATGTTCCTGTAAGCATGCAGACACAATATGAGTCCTATAGATATATATATCTGATTTATACTATTATTTATTTATTTATGTACTTATTTATTTGTCTTATCTATTTAGGGTTTATTTTATACGGTTTTGATTCTGTTTAGTGATCTGTCATGCCACCCTCATATTGTGAATATGTTGTACTGTATGTATAAACATTATATGTGCATACATACGATGAACAAAGAATAAATTCTTGAAACTTTATTTGTCTTGACATGTATTACAAAATACACAAACAATATGCATACAAAACGGTTTATTTTTTGCAATATTGTCATGATGGGAAGATATTTATTAGATATCATTATGAATTTAAAACCTTAGTGATGTAAGAAACACTGGGTTCTATATTAATATTAACATATACATATACATAAATAAAAATCTAAACATTAACATACAGTCATGGACAAAAATATCGGCATCCTTGGTAAATATGATCAAAGAAGGCTGTGAAAATTAATCTGCATTGTTAATCCTTTTGATCTTTTATTTGAAAGAATCACAAAAATCTAACCTTTCATTGGATACGAATTTAAAATGGGGGGAAATATCATTATGAAATAAATGTTTTTCTCAAATACACGAATGGGCCATGTTTGGATCTTCCAACCGTACAATAATCCAAAAACAGACCTTAAAAACAACACAAAAATGGGTCACTGGGCACAAAACATTTATTTCATATGATATTTCCCCCCATTTTAAATTCTTATTATCCAATGAAAGGTTAGATTTTTGTGAATTTTTTTAATAAAAGATCAAAAGGATTAACAATGCAGATTAATTTTCACTGCCTTCTTTGATCATATTTACCAAGGGTGCCGATATTTTTGGCTATGACTGTACGTGTTATATATATATATAATTATAAAAAATGCATTTTATGATGAACACAGTATAGGCAGTATAAGCACAAGTGACGAGCCCCGCATCTGCGCCCGCGCCCGCGCTCGCTCTCACCTCATGTTTGCGGCTGAATATAAATTATCATCATAATTAATGGACAACTAGACTATATCAGGGAAAAGACATCAGCGCAGTCCGGCGCAGAGAAAAGAAAAATAAAAAAAATCCCAAGATGAAGCCCGTGCATTACTTTCAGGTAACTACGTTCATAGTCATAATCCTGTGAAACTTTTTTAACTGTTGACTTCAGTAACGTGTTTTAATGTCGATAATAAATTCACCACCAACAACAACAACGCATCTGACTTAATATTCTAGTTTTCATGACTTAAAATGTATTATATAAAAACAATGAGGCAATAAAGATTGGTTAATTAATAATAATCATGTGGTTTCATTGAATAACACTGTTAAATAATGTAATACAAAATAGACAATTTGCATTATTACAAATGCCTGGGGCACCAAAGGCCTGATAATTACTGTTGTTACACTTACAGGACGATCAAATCCTTGTTTAATATTGACCAAACATTTAATTCAAATTATTTATTTATTTATTTATTTACTTTTATATTTTATTAAAGTTCTATTTTGAACCTTTATATAGGTTTTTTTTGTTTTCACAACAATGCTATTCTGCTTAGGGCACCCATTTGGCCAGCAGCGGCCCTGTGGATATTGCTCAGTGGAATGTAAGCTCTTTTTTTAATATATAACATTTATAGGCCTAGTTTTTAGCGGGACTACCTTGGAGTGAATTCAGGTCAAATGGGACGCTTTTGCCATTGAGAAGACTGGGGGAAAAATGTCCCAATTCACTCGAATTCACACTTGTGTTGTTGTTTAGCGGCAAATACCTAGTTAGAACAAAAGGAGGCGCTGTAACGAAAGAAAATACTAGGCCAATGGTAGGCTACGGATTTCAGAAGTAGGCCTACTAAGACGCAGGCGGTACAACATAAACAATGGCATCATATTCATGAGATGGGGGGTTTTAAGAGAACTAGTGGGATTCTTTACAGGTAAGTCAGACTAGGTAAGCAACTTTATTGCTGGATGGATTGCGTGGAGGAAGAAGGGTGCTTGCAAAGCTAATATTCCTCATTATTCCTCAAATCGTCTGTGCATAACTCATATCGCAACAAACAAGAATGATAGCTTTATGCGGCTTACTGAGGAAACCGGTGTTATGAATTCTGTAGGCCTATGTGATCAGGCCATATACAATTCACATACAATTTGCAATGTAATGTCAAATTGTGATGCAATTCCACTTAGTTCTTGAGATGTAGGCTAATACGACAGTGCTATTATCTTCCAATAGGCGTCACTGAGGATCCAGCAACAAAGCACTTGTTGCTCTTATGCACCTTGCAACGCCCCCAACATACAGTAGCCGACAGCACATCTATACTGACTATGCTAAGCTATTGTGTAAATTAGCTTTTATTTGATAATTAAACATAATTAGGACCCCTATTGAAAACGATTGCATGAATCATCTCGGAATTGTTGACTGTTTCCCAAAAGTATCATTAAGTAACCAGTGTCTGAATGAAAATCTTGTTCTAGGGCTCATTCAGTCACGTGCAAGAAAGCCGCAAATTGAAAAATGAAAAGATCAAATATTTCTGACAACACTGCATGGGTCACCATCTCCTTGTCACTGCCAGGAATCGCACGAATGCGGCCTTAGTGCAAAAAAAAAAAAAACGTAAAATAAAGTTGCTTGACACAAAGGCAACATTTCAATAGGCTACTTGTAGAACTGACTGCGACTTG